ATAGTGTGCTCCTTGCTAGTGAATTTTTTCTCTTCTCTTAGTCTGGAGGTAAGTACATTGCCGAAGCATTTTAAATTTTTGTGTTTTCTTCTTTCTTTCTTTTTTCTTTGATTTATTTTATACATCTTATGTATCTTTCAACTTAACATAATAATCCTTGTTGTTGAGTCTCGGAATGGTGAATTACATGATAATGCGCAGAAAACAACTAGATGCAGGAATTCTGCAATTGTGAGATTGCTTTTTTCTAGTTTACATACGAAGAGTTACTATTAATTCACATTGTTATTTATCAAAAAAAAGAAAAGAAAAAGAAGGAAAAAAAATTTGATAGTAGTTGGAGTCACACATTACATGAAACCACTTTTCCCTGCACAATTTTTCACTAATTCAATTAAAAAAATAATAATAACAAATTCTTTGTTGGTATCACTTCTCATATGAAGCTAGTGTTTTTGAACAAGCCTCTACTCAAGAAAAAGTTTTTCTATCAATATTTGGTTTGTAAAAGAAACACACTAAATCATGCACACTTCTGTTACTGTTGCATTTATGCAATTTTCTTTAAAGAAATTTGTTTGATAATGAAAAGAAATTAAAATGTAAGTGTAGGAATAATAGTCTTTACCAATAAGTATTATTGCTTATAAGTTTAAGTCCCCTCATTACATGGCCCATTTTTCTTTGGCATTTGGCATAAATTAAAGACAGGGATTTCCTATAAAAGGCTCCAGCAGGAAAATTACTGGACATTAGTTAATTAAGTTAGAAACAACATTCCAACAAGAAAGCAGAAATATCCCATTTTGTTTAGTACATTAACTTGTCCATTCTTTTGAAGCAATTATTATTATTATTCTTTTTCCCTTCTCAAAGGAGTGAGCTGTGAAAGAGAACAAAAAACGGACCAGTAAGCTGTAAATTTGTGATGGGGGCATGGTCAGAATGATGTAAAGGAATGATTGAAGGGATTATTGCTTTCACTTTTGCAGAGGGAAGATTCATGTGTTTGCGGGGAAAGGTCAGAAAAAGAGGAAGATCATTGTGCAAATAATGGAAAAAGCTAAAGGAATCATAATCTAAAGCCTCTCCTAAATGCCAGCTTAAAAGTGAGTACTATTGTGCTTGGAAATCCGTGCATGTTTTTTATTTAGCAGAAAATATCATTATCAGCTAGTTCAGCAAAATTTCCAAGCTAAAAAAAGATAAAAAAGATGATCCTTGGAAACATCTTTTCTAAATTACTCATCAAATTAACTAGTAACCATCAGGAGTCTATGTCAAGTAGTGATGGAGTTAGAAAATTTTTGAATCAGACACAATATAAAAGATGTAAAAAAATACATTTTTATTAAATGAGACATAAATATAATTTTTTATTATTAAGTATAGATACAATTATAATATATATATATATATATATTAACTTAGGGTTAGTGAAAATTCAAACTTTACATTATATGTTGGAGTCAAATGTAGTATTATCATTAGACGATACCTGCAACCACATCATGTTTTTTATTAAATGAAAACATGACTGAAATTTTAAACAAATTTCAAGTATAAAGATTCAATATTTATAATTTCAGTGGAGGCGTCAACTCCATGTTGCTTGTTATTTATACCAATTGTAGACCTGAGGCTAATACTAATTAACAAGTAATGCAAGCAATAAACCAAGTCATTTATACCAATTGTTAGCTAGATCAGCATTAATGTGCTAATGAGAGAATTGAACAGGGTTATCTTTCTACCTGCACACGTGTTTTTTTATTCTTTTACTGACTTTTTGAATTGACAAAATTCTTCCAAAAACTGATTCTCCTGTTTTTGGGAATGTTATATGAAGGTAAGTTCTTAAAGCTTTTTTTTTTTTTTTAAGTTGATATTTCGAGTTGTCTTTTCTCTGGTTTTCATGAATAGTAGACAAGTTGGTTTGTGTTATACAGTGCAGAACTAAACCTCCAAATTCAATTCACCAAAGGTTTAGTGCAGGCATACGTCTCACAGTTTTCAAGCTCAAAGAGCATTTGAAATTTTAAAAATAATAATAATAAAAAAAATAAATCCCCACGACTGATTCATACCACCACACTTCAGGTGATTGTACTCTTTGTATCTTTTTCATGTCTAAGTTGCCCATTAGTGCTCAGAGAGAGAGAGAGAGAGAGAGGCAGGATTGGCAAGCACTGAGGGAAATCCACCAATCTGAGGAATCAACTCAAACTATAAATTTATTGTCCACAAAATCTTTGTCTTGTTTTGAGGCCCCTTCATTCTGAACAACTATTTACTCCCATTAACACAACAGCTGGACAAGAAATGGTAGACAACTTTACAAGATGATAATGACTGGAAAATAGCAAAAAGATTATAGAGAATATAATGTGCACTATTATGCCTGTCACATTGTTAGGACTAAGTTCCAAAAACATTTCAAATGTGCTTCACTTGGGGCAATTTTCTTGTGCAGAAAGTCATTGGTTTTAGCAATTGATGTTATCTTGTTGTGTCTAAATCATATCAGCAAAATCTATCATCAAGTACTTTCTGAATTCTATCATTCCCCTAGCTAGTTTTCACTATCTGTTTTTTTTTTTTTTTTTTATAATTAGTTTCCACTACTTCTCATTTCTTGATATAATTGCTTCTCTCTCTCTCTCTCTCTCTCTCTCTTTGAATTCTTCTGCCCAAATTGTAAGATTGCACTGGTGTTGCAGTACTTCAACCCACAACTACCTCTTTTTACCATATATGCATATATGCAACCAACTTATGTCACAGGTTTCATAGGCTTAACTCTCAGATTTGAAATTCTGTTGGACTCTTAATTTGTGAGAAAACAACTCATATTAGTTTCTACAACTTATCCAGAAAAGGTAAAAAGAGGGAGGGATAAATTTTGTTGATATACAAGGTATTTTAAGAGCTAGAGGTGAAAAGCAAAAGCATAAGTACAATTATAAACAAGCATAAATACAATTATAAACAATGTCCAAGAATGATTGATCATGATAAGAAAGTTTGCATGTACATTGATTGGAAATAATTCCATCATTATTACCTTATGATTCACCTTAGCCCTCTTAATGATGGGGAAATTGATTGCATTTGTGTGGCCAAGTTACACAAAGTGAATTTTTTTCTGAATTCAAGTAATTGAAAAAAAAAAAAAAAAAAAGTTTTTTGGTCCCACAAAGCAAAAGAGGGGAAGTGAAATGACATTGAAATAGTGAAAGAGAAAGAGAGAGCATGTGCTTTTCTGAGTTTGGCTTGTCCATCAGATTAACAATCAGCCATTTAGTACTCCTCAGTCAGTTGTTTTATGCATCAGATACATTTTGGTACATGTAGAATCATAGAAGAGAACCCAATTGTAGATTTGCCACATATACGGTCGACCACTTAAATTTTGGCACTTAACCAAATTATGTTTTTTTTTTTTTTTTCCCCTTTTTGAGAATTTAACAAAACCAGATTTTGAGTGAGTTTTATCACGAGATTGATGTTTCTGCTTAAGAACAAACAACATCATGAAAAGGGAAAGATAAGAGAAAAAGTGAGGACCTTTCACCTTTAAATTAAAAGAGAAACAATGATCATTCATTACTTTTGACCTTTACTTCCATCACCCACTATGTCACTAAGACTATGTAGCAAGACTTGGTAGTCTCAATTATCAAACAAGGAAGAGCTGTTCATATGCTTAAAAGAACGTCCTGTCCACGTAAAATCCATTTAAAATAGTCCACCAAATTGTTCAATTAATTAGTAGAGAAATGAATACTAATTTTACACCCTTAGTGTGGTACATACCCGCTTAAAGTGCCACAAACATCTTTCATTCAATTCACTACTACCTGCTTGATTTTTGATCTCCAAAGTTGTCTAAAACTCTGAGCTATGAAAGGAAATTCAGTAGGAAAATTCAGCAAGTGTGGTTCTTGTAAGGAAAACTCTTCGACGCTCGAGTCATAAATTTATGAAAGGAAATTCAGTATATGACAATGACAAAGTTTCAAAATAGAAATTAAAAAGAAAAAAGGGTCCATTTCCACCCTCAGTCACCCTTACTATAGGCTTGGGAGTGCACATGAATATGGATTAAATCTATAATCCTTAAATTTGATTTGCTAAAATTTTCACTAAGAACTGGTCTTATTTTTATGTGTTTAAGTCGTTTGTATTTATCAGTGATAGCTATGTACTAGGGCCTTTAAGTACTGTTACGACCTTGTTAATTCCTTGTTCTGCATTAAACCGTCATCGTTCTCTATATGCTTCAATCAAACACAGTCGTTTAACAAAGGAATTATTTTCATTCCCACAATATGGCTAAACAAAGCCCCCAAATAAAAGACAGCAAAGTTCCCAAAACTACACCTCTTTGCTTTATGTTACATTCTACAAGTATAGAAACCCACGTGCATATAACTCTATATGTATCTCGATTATATTTGGTTACTCACACCCGTAAGTTCATTAAAAAAAGAATTTCCTTACAAGCTCCAATATTTAAGCACCTTTTCTAGTGGAACAGTTATACATATTCAGATTGCAGCAACAGTACGTTTAGTCAGAAGATATAGACTCTCTCTCTCTCTCTCTCTCTCTCTCTCTCTCTCTCTCTCTCTCTCACACACACAGAGGAATCTAGCCAGAATTTTGAAGTGGAAGTGGGATATACAGATTTGCTTTTTGAGGGTTGTGGGGATAAGAGGGTGGGAAGGGCTTGGTATATAATTGTAAAGAAAAGCTAAAGTTGCAAGCAGAAGAGGGCCCTCACATCAATCTTTCAGTATCATGATGCTATAATAATAATAATACATGCACGACTGGATGGAACACCTAAAATGTTGGATATATACATATACATATATACATATATATATATATATACATATATGACATCCTCTTTAACATAATCGATCAAATTTTTATCTTTCCTTTACTATTAACGATAAAGCAATAAGTGAGAAAACGAAAAGAGTTTTTGAGATATGGAAGACACGAGAGAAAAGAAACAGCCAAAGAAACACTTGTGGAAGCCAGAAGAGGACTTGATTCTGAAGAAGTATGTGGAAACTCATGGTGAAGGCAACTGGGCAACTGTGTCACAACAATCAGGTTAATAAACTCTAATTAATTGTTTCTGATTTTTCTGTTTGGATAATTGTCATAAACTTTCCCGGTAATTTTCTCTCTGTTTTTTTTTTTTTTTTTTTTTTTTTTTTTTTTTTTTTTTTTTTTTTGTTTTCTTCTTCTTTTTACGGATTCTCTTGTATACCTTGAAATGACAAAAAAATTCCTTCCATTTAAAATTATCTTCATATACCTCCTTGTGATCGGTCAAACTAGGGAAAAGTTACGTGATTTTTTTATTTTTTTTCAAATTTACCCTTATTTAACATTATAGGAAGTAGGAACATTGAAAATGTATGCTACATATTTTAGTTTCGATCTAAACAAGTCAATTCTTTTTCATTCTCTGAGTTCTGTGCAAAAAAGCATGGGAGATTGACAGAGGAAAAGAGGGAAAAACAACAGGAGATGAGAAAGAATTGAGTCGTTTGGATTTATGTAATCTAACTTACAATTTACGTATTCGACCCTATTTATTTCGTTAGGATAAATATGTAAAACCTTACAAATTTTCCCAATCTAACAATTTGTTTGTTTCATGGGTTTAAACATATATTTAAAATTTTGTAAGAGAAAACACAACTGTCAACTAAACGGATGGATGCTAAAGAGAGAATTTTGACGTAAATATCAAACTTCAAGGGATTTTTCATAATTACTGGATATACCATGGTATATGTAAGAAAAATGTAAAATACAGGAAAGTTTTATTATTATCTTATTTTCTTTGCACTAGTTTTTTTGCTAGAGATTTTCTTTGTACTAAATAGAGGCTCTCTGCACCTTAACTGATTTTGTATCTTTGTAACAGGTTTAATGAGAGGTGGAAAAAGCTGCCGACTGAGATGGAAGAATTATCTCAGGCCTAACATAAAACGTGGAGAAATGTCTCAAGAGGAACAAGACCTTATTATTCGAATGCATAAGCTTCTGGGGAACAGGTGAGTACTATCTTTACCTAAAAACTCCAAAATAAAGACTTTCTTACTTTTTTAGTGGCTCTTGCTTGTCATATCCTCTGCTAAATTCTTCTATATCCTGCATTCCTTGCGTGGCATACATGTTTTTCTCACACATTGTCACTTTATGTTCTTTTTGTGATACCCACTACCAAATTCTTCTAAATTCTCGTCATATCCAATCACAGATGTTCTTTTTGTGTAAGAAAATAAAACAATGAGTTTGATCAATTTCATTTGAGTGTTTCTTTTGCATAGATGGTCCCTGATTGCCGGCCGGCTTCCTGGTCGAACCGATAATGAAGTGAAGAACTATTGGAATACCCATTTGAACAAGAGATGCCAATGGGGCAAAAGAAAACATACCGATTCAAATGGCGATAAAAACGACAGCAATGGTTCTAAGACGAATAACAAAGAAAACAAAACCGACAATCCTCATCCGACCACCAGTGAAAGCCAGAAAAACACTACCGAGAGATCGGTAGAACGGAAGGAGGAAGAGAAGAGTGCTGCTTTAATCCCATTCATGGATGACACAAACGGCTTTAATTTCGACATAGAATCTCCCATTATGACTCCTGCAAACAGCTCCATGTTTGTCTTCGATGATGAGCCTTTCACAACCTACATGGATTCATTTCTTTTGTTTGAAGCATTTGGATACACTGCAGGAGAGGAGAGTTATGCAGAGTGCAATCACTCTAATGATCTCTGCCATTCTCAATACATGACTCTTTCCACATATTCTAGTAGGAATTAGTTTGTGTTTTGAACACTGCAAGACCGCAGCACTTTGTGCTTTTTCCTGCAGTAGCACCTTGTGCTTTTTTCCTGCAATGCTGACGGACGCACCATAATATTGTTCTTTTTTTGGGTGAAAACTATAATATTTAGCTGTTGTACACAAGTGGTATGGCCACAAGTGATTTTAGTTTTCTCCTTTTTGTAAAGAAACAACGGCCCTGATCACCCATCAAAGTCTGAATCAAGCAGCCAGCCAATTTTGATGAGAACAGGCAAAATGGAAAATAATTAAAAGCACTTCTGAAAGGAAAAAAGAAAAAGTAAATGGATCTAAATTTGTCCAGTATGCTTTGACAACAACGCAAGAACCTGCAACGGCCAGTCTCATATAAAAAGGGCTTAATGCCAGTTAAGATAGAAACCATATTGAGATTGAGGCAGAGAAATATGATTTAGGAAAAGACATCTAATTTGATACATTGATTCGATTCAGAGTAACGATTTGGCAGTTTCCTTTCTTTGGAAATCAACAATTACACAAAGAAGGCGTTTTAGGCAATAGTCTTTGGAGTACCAAAGCTGTCATGTCGACCCTCCCGTACTAGGGACAAGAATTACAATACATCGTCCTCTTGAGGATACAACAACCCATTGTCAGCAATAGGTAATGAAGGCGGCGTTCCGGGTGGAATGCAAGCTGCACCATTCTCACCAGCACATATGCACAAAGCCTCGGCATCCCTGAGAACCGAGTCGAGGTCAATGTGACCGCTCAATTCGTTAATGAACTTCAGGAGTGTGTCAAAGTCCATCTGCTCGCTAATTATCTTATTACGCTGCCGCTTTAAGATTGCAACACACAAGTACAGGTGTAGGTGCTCAGACAAATAATGTGTCCATAATACTTCCCAAAGGCGCATTGTTTTCTCATATTCAAATTCTCTGGAATAAAATGACAATCAATCAGAAAATTTGTGAGTTACTGTAAAATAAAGTTGCAGGGTCATATTTACGTGGAAGATTAAGTTTCAATACACAAAGCATTCAGCTGCAACACAGGATTTTATCACGTTTACGAAGAAATAATTCAAAAATAGAAACCACGCATCTGCATTACATCAATGGTGGAAAGTGTCCCAGATTAATAGAGAGTGCGGGGGACAGAAATAACAAAGAAGTAAACCAAGGAACAGACCTTTTGAATTGTATTAGAACCCAGCGAAAACAGAAGAAGTAATTCAGGCAATCATGCTGCTTGAAGTAACTATGCAGTGGGCTATCCAACAATTCCACCAACTGACAACACAACAATCAGAAATCATTAGAAATGCAACCCAACAAATTATTGCTGCATAGTAAAGCAACGAAACTGTACTACCAAATCACCACTACAGAGGAAACAACGAAAATGTACTACCAAATCACCACCACTACAGAGGAAACAACAAAAATGTACCATATAGTAATGCTTTTTCTTTTTTTGGCTCCGAATATAGTTATGATCATTAATGTGATAAGCTCTGGTTTATCCGGTCAAGAACTAAAGAAACTAATTGCACAATTCGAAAGAATGAGAAAGAATCAACGAAGGATATTATTGAACAATGAGTATACACAGATCGGCAGAACTTCGAGGGTCTGCTTCCTCCCTTGCTTGGAATTGTTCCAAGACTTGTCCACTTTCTGTTTATTTCCCGATAACCGCTTTTCCCTCCTCTTTCCCCTTTTATACAATTTCCTCTCCTCACTCCCCAAACTCCCCCCGTAAGCTAAACTAATATTTCCACTAAACTACTAACACCAAACTACCACAGCCACTTAAGACAGCTGTCCCTTCCTAAACTCTTTTATTCCTCCTAACAAACACTTGCCTGAGTAAGGGCTTATCATAATGCATGTAAATTATTATCCGAAGCTTGTTATGTTGTTTCATTCTCGGTGAAGAAGTAGAGAACTCGCAGGGTTTGCCTTTGTGTAGTACAAAATGCAAATGATAATTAACTGTTGGACAGGAGGCTTGCTCTTACTCCTTTCAGTAGTGTAATGTTATACAGCTCCAGTAAGAAAAACACTTGCGTTTAATACATATGGGTATCTCAAAATGGTCTTCTCCCCGGAAGATTAAGTTATTTACATGTTGTATCCCAATTCCCAAGCATACCATATTGCAAGATACATCGTGTCACCAAAATGGTGACAAAATCCATTCAAAGAAATCACACCACCAAAAGATCATTGAAAAGGTAGTACTAAATTTCTATGGAAGTAAATTGATAATCTCCTCAACGAAGTAAAATATTATATACAATACATATTCATTTTCAGTTCCATAGTTTAAGACTCAAATTGCCACTAGTAGCATGCATGCATGCATACATACTACAATACATACACTACATGTTCTGTATGTAATTTATGATTTATCATCTGGGTTTTTAACTGTTCAGACAGAAGGGAAAGGGAGGATAAAGAGATACCTCACATGTACTGTAATTTATGATTTATCATCTGATTTTTTAACTGTTCAGAGAGGGGGGGAAGGGAGGATAGAGAAATACCTTAGAAATTGCAAAGAGTTGAGTGTGCATGCCATTTTGGTCACGATTAAAATTAGGTCCCAGGCGTTCCATTAGTGAAACGAAACACCAAAATGACTCGGACTCATCCCCCATCACAAACAATATTGGGGAAAGAAGGTCACTCATACCCTAGGTCACAAAAACAAAAACATATTACACATAAAGACAGATAACAAAGTGTTAACCAGAAAAACAAAAAAACAAAACAAACAAAACAAAACAAAAACAAAAGGATGAACAAATTTGCTGTCTTTAGACCGGAAGATACGAACAAGAAAAGTGGGCTTCAAAAATTATATGTAATTGCAATTCTCCCTAGTATATGGAGAATAAGCGCATGCAATGTAAAAATGAAATGGTATCATTGCAACAAAATCTTCTAGCTGGTAATTTCTAAATATAGTTGTCGGCAAGTACATCCTTGAAGAGTGTCGCAACAGAAAACAGACACAAACTTATTTAATCAGTTAAAATATTTGGCGAATTATTTTGCCCATGAAACAATTCATTAATCATTATTAAACAAAATGTTGTTCACAAGAATGAAGTTGTGTATTCTATTTTTGTGTGTCTGCGTCTATGAGTGACAGATCTTGTAAAGGTGGGAAAAAAGGAGATCCTGAATCAAATTTGGCATCTCTTTACGACACCAATACAGTCATATAAATATATAGCAGACACATGATACAAAAATATTTAATTCATGGGCAGAAAAAAAAAAAGCTCAAGGACTTGCTGAATAGACCCTAATTACAGGCTGGTACAAACTACAAGTATGCGAAGCTACTTTCTTGGCTGAATGGTTAATTCTATTGCAAAGCAATTTCCCATGGGGGATGGCCTTTAATTTTAGCTTCATTTTGCCAATTGCATCAAATTGTTCAATATATGGATGTTAGTAACTAGTAGAGAACTTCTTCCTAAGACGCCCAACATAAAGTAAACGAACCTAGAATAAACATATCATATATATCTAAATCTCCCTGCATATATTCATATGATTCCAAATAATTACTTTAGGATTTGAATATTAAATTGTTCTCAATAATAACCAAATGTCTAAACTAATCAAACCAACTACCGAAGTCCAAACTATCAATGGACAAAAATAATTTAACATAGTATAATTCATCAACATCCAACCAGGAACGCAGATTTACTGGACATGAAAGGCAAATTACCTGACAGTAACCAAGATCAAAGTTGTAAAATGAGTATGTCAACAGAATATCACGTAAAAGACACACGTTTGGATTATCATCCCCATCATAAAAGGAAAGTGACCTGTCAGTCCTCACCTTGAAAAAAGATCAAACATAATTTGATGGTTACAAATACAGAAGCGCAATTTGATAAACTTATCCGATGAAATTAAAAGCTCAAAGACAATACCACATCTTTGTCAATAAGACCCTTCCTCTCTCTGAATTTTGTAAATTTCTTTGCCTGTTGTGGCGAGATACTCTGCAAAGAAAAAACAAATTGATATCTTGACCATCTTATTAAAGCCTAACATAACAATTCAGATGCTTCAGATTGCTGCGAGAGTTGAATGTGTCAAAGCTTGGTACCCAATGTTGGACCATTTATTCACTATAGCATAAACTGGTAAATTAAGAAAAATGCCAACATTAAGCTATACATGCATCTGTTCCAGAAAGTAATTGTACGTCAATGAATATTGTGTTCAAGAATGTCTTTTTACGTCAATAGACTATATCATAGGGTATGTCTTCAAGTATTGACCAGTCACCTAATCTTGCTTATAAGAAAATTATACCTAAGTCGGCTAGTCTAGAAATGAAACAAAAGATTGCTATATTGGTGCTATGATTGAAAAGGAAAGCCTCGTAAAGAATCCCTATGGTGAAATGTATACTTGCACATACAGAACAACGTTCAAAACATGGGGGAGGGTGATGAAAATAGTGCAGAGTCCCTGCCACTGGTTCTTTATTGTCTCATACTCTGACTTCTTAACGGACCTAAGATATTCCCTCTCTGCATATGTTGACTCATATGCGTAGTGTCCCAACAAGAATGCCCAGACCTGTTAATCATAAATGAGATCCGACAGTAATATGAATATTTGATCAAATACTACGCTCAAAATTACAAACATATATAAGTACAGACCTCTTTCCGTAATATGTGCTCAACTCCCCCATAAAAAATTCTTTTTCTTAAAGCTTCTGGATCAGTGACCCTCCCTTCAGAATCCAATAATGTGACCCACTGCAAAAGTGCATAGAAGTTACACAAACTATTATAAAAATATCCACTCATGTTCTACCACATCTCTCAGTGAAAAAACACAAACTAGATAAAGAATAATGAGGAATGGTTAGGATTAGATAGCTGGAAAAAAATGTGTAACAGTGATGAGTGAACGTGCTTGAACGGGTCCACAACCATAGGGAATTAGGGATTATGAAAGATGTTCACACCGGGTCAATTCTTGATGATGGCTCTTATTTTGACATACTCTAATTAGTCCAGTTAGTAACACAACATCACCAGTGATACTCAAAAGTCAATAATGTAGATCTCATGCCCCTTATTTCATACGTTGAAAGGAAGAAATGAACAAAGCTCAATAAATCTGGTGTAGTGTTCTGATAAGATTCTTAACCTAGATCTCACTAAGGATAGATAAAACTAGATAAGATGCAATAAAAACTTTATAATATCTAAGAGTAGAAGAGTCGTAACTTTCAATTCCTGGAAAATAATGTGTTATTATTGAAATCAACTTCAACAAGCCATTGCAGAAAGAGCACAAATATGAAATAAGTTTACTAAAAGAAGGAAGACTATTTAATAGAATATAAGCTGATGGGAAGATATCTCTTAACAAATATGCCATTGAAAAAAGTAAAGAATTTACGCCCAAAAAAAAGGCACTTACCTCTTCAGGGCCCAAAGGTGGCTGTCGTGGTTTTCCCCATACTAGTGCTAATTTATCAAACTGAAAAAAAAAAAAAAAAAAAAAAAAAAAAAAAAAGGTAATTTTAAAAAAAAAAAAAAAAAAAAAAAAAAAAAAAAAAAAAAAAAAAGTAATAATTAGATTGGGTATAAAAACTTTAAAAAGGGGGAATTCAAAAAATTATTCAGCTTGAATACATCTTTCCAATATGTAAAAGAACATACAGGGCAAAGTACATATTCTCTTGCCCAGTACCAATATTGTAATTATAACCAATAAAACAATTTTATTGATCATGTGGAGACACTGACCCGACATGCACAATGGCAGTGAATACATTTGTATCAACTACACAAACAATCAGGAATGCATAATGTTACGACAAAATCTTTAAATTTCCCTCATGGCTAAATACGCCTTTAAGATTGTTGCATAAAAGGTCAACTAACACATCATACTCTAGCTCATTGAGAACCTTATTCAAATAATATTCACTCCTGTAAGTTTTCAAACTTCATAATTTTGATCTCTTTATAGTAATTTTTAAAAGAAAAGGAGAAAAAAGAGAAAAACAACACAAGCAAATATGGACACCAGCAAAGGATTATGCTTGAACATGCTCTTACATCACAAAAGGATACAAAAGTTCATCTCCACACATTGCAGCAATGTGTGTGTTTGTCCAATTAATGCAGCAACTAACTTCGAAAGAAGTCGATAAACTATCTCAACATAAAGAAACAACTTTACTAGTGGAACTTTTATAGCTTGGACTTAAAAGACTGGAAGTGTTGCGCTATTAGACTTCTGAAACCAAGTAAAATGTACTGCAAAGAAATTTCACAAAATTTTTGAACGTGTAAAATTCTGGTGCCGAGTTAGAAAACCATCCCATGTTTGCTACTCCAACACAAATAATGGAAGATCGTGTTGTAAAGCTATGACGAGTTCAGAATATATCAAGGGTATGCTGAGAAGATAATCAACCTAAGCAGTAAGCGAACCAGATCAATAGAGCATGACAGTACAAGGCGCTGAGAAACAATTTAAATGTCTTGTAAACAATTGTGGGATATCACTAATCGTCACTTCTAACATATCTTCACCCTGAACTTAATGAATATTTGATAAGCAGACAGAAGAGCACACAAAAAAGTAAAAACCAAAAGTAAGCGCAACACTCCTTTAATACCTCCTCCAAATTTATTAGCTCAAAATTCCCCACACCCGTCGCAGCTTCTTCACCAATATTGTGTTTCATACATGAAAATTTCTGTTTAGCAATTTAAAAGGATAGTCCACATCAGATCGTTCAAAAGTAAGTTCAAAATTGTTTCAATCTTTCACACTACATAACATAAGCAGTGTCGTGTGAGAGAAAATAAATAAATAAAAGCTTCAAACCACATCATCTAAACTGTCCCAGTTAAAGGAACCCAGATCATTAAAACTAATAGTAACGGTAATATGAAGGTGGCGAATATTTTTCATTTGTTTTTAGAAGAAACAGTAACTTTGTTGAATAACAAAAAGTCAGCAAAGGGAGAGGACAAGAAATCCTCAACAGAGAAGAAACGAGATAAGAACAAGGGGGACAGAAGAAAAACAAAAACCGAAGATCAACAACAAAGTCCACATAACAATCACATAAAAAACTCGAGATTTTCGAATACTACCGTAAGTAAACAACCCCACCTCATTGTAAACTAACCCCATAGTCAAATTAGAAGAAAATTCAAATAAACACGCATTAGATCCAAATGAATTAAAAGAGTTGGATCCAAAGGAATTAAAAGAGTAGAGGACTTTCATCATACAATTTTATAGGTGAATTTCCACACAAGAAATAGCGCGATTAGACTCAATGAGTACGAAAATAGGACCAGCTGAAAGTTCCAAAACTTAAAAGTAGGAGATAATGGTGGTAATGAGACAATAGTTTGGAAAGGAAAAGGTTCATCAATGACAGGCTCGGGAATGGAATGGGCTCAAACCATCTTGTCACTTATCACGAACTCTTTCTTATTTTCATTCTTCTCAAATAAGGGTACAATTGGGACCTACGGGCAAGGTGTAGCTCACTAATTCCCAGTGCTTTAACTCTTGGCGAAAATAATAGCAAAGCTCATAGCGGAACAGGGGATGAAGACGACGACATGAGTAACTGGTTTTGACGGTGATGACACACTGATGAAGGCTAGGAACTAAGGAAGAAAGTTCCAACAGCAACTTGAGTGACGACGACCGTGATGAAGAGGAGACCTTAGCTGATTGCATTGTTTCAACTTTTGTTAGGACCACTATACGGTCAAAATCAGCAAAATAGAAATGTTGGGGATCCTATTGGGTTGGCTTAGTCAGTTAGCCAAGTTGTTAGGAGTGGAATATTTAGTAAGCCATTCCACAGTTGATGATGATGAAGCTCTGTTGAACAAATAAAAGGAGCCAGTACCTTTTTTTGCTAGATATTCTCTGATCAGTGTGTAATTTGTTTGCTGAGTTAGTAAAATTAGCTGGGGTCCTAACAACTTTCGACAACGACGGCGCGCTGGCAAAGCAGAGAGGAAACGAGCCATAGGCTTAGTTTGGTATTGCTGTAGATTTTGGAAAAATTGCTTTTAGTTGTGCTGAAAAAAAAAACAGTTGTTACAAAAAGCAGCTGAGTGTTTGGCAAACTATAATTATAGTAGCTGTGCTAGTTCCAAAATCAGTGTAATAGAGTTAGGTAAATTATGAGGTTAAATTGCTGTGGATAGTTAAAAATCACGACTATATTATATTACACTACAATATAATATATATAATTACAATATAATATAAATTCATTATTATATTTAATATAATACAAAAAAACTATTATTATATAATATATTATATAATTATGATATTATTTGTTACAATATTACTATTACATTATATTATATTATATTAAACAAATATATTATAATTAATATATTATATAATTATGATATTATTTGTTACAATATTACTATTACATTATATTATATTATATTAAACAAATATATTATAATTAATATATTATATAATTATGATATTATTTGTTACAATATTACTATTACATTATATTATATTATATTAAACAAATATATTATAATTAATATATTATATAATTATGATATTATTTGTTACAATATTACTATTACATTATATTATATTATATTAAACAAATATATTATAATTAATATATTATATAATTATGATATTATTTGTTACAATATTACTATTACATTATATTATATTATATTAAACAAATATATTATAATTAATATATTATATAATTATGATATTATTTGTTACAATATTACTATTACATTATATTATATTATTGTATTATTATATTATATTATATTACGAGTCTGAATTCTATATTGAGAAGATTGTAAATTTTAAATTTCATTAGGAGTATTATGGGTATTATGTAAGTTTCATTAATTGTACTATGTTGATTCCTGCATAATCTAAAAGCTAAAGTTGCCCTTGGGTTGCTTCTAATTTTGGTTGTAGATTATTCAAAAATTCTTCAAAAAGCACTTTTGAAGAGATTTACCAAACACTAAAATCAGCTTTTACTACAAGCAGAAGCTGATTTGGAGCGAAAAACAATACCAAACGCAGCCATAGGCCCCTTTCTTTGTTCTACCTCGGTGTTTGTTTTTTTCTTTTTCCTGCTCAATGTTTGTTGCCCTAGCCTATGACCTGATGGGTGTAAGTATGTGTGTGTGTGTGCATATACATATACATATATATATATATATATATATATATTAACTTTTTAAACTATATGTATAAGTATATAGAGGCAGATTCGTGATGCCACGCTCCCAATAAGTATAACCAGGGAAAAACCGCCCTGTCCCCGAAACTGCTTAAAGCTGGGAAACTACTTCTATCTTGATACCCATTAGAATGGTGAGACCTTTGGTTTGCTCCCACAAGATCTGGGATTCAAACCACCACATGGGCACCTACATGACAAAAGTCAGTTTCCTGCCTACTAATGTTTGTAGGATTGGCAGAAGGCTCTAGTTCCAAACAAGTCTTGGATTATAATGGGTATCGTGAAAGTAAAGATGATATTGACTGCTTTCTTTTTTTATTATTTTTAAATTCATGTAAATGCTAAGATTAAAGAATCATATTGGAACGATAAAAGGATTTTAGAATAAGGCAAATGAAATAGATCCAAGGAGAAGTTTGCTAAAATGACTACCCTAGAAATTGAATTTAGCAAAATGACCTTTTTCATTTTTGCATAAAGCGACCCACTCGGTCGAGCAATTTAAGAAGTGGTTGTGCAGAGTCGTTTCGAAGTCATTTCAAACTAAAATTTTAAAAAGTTAATTTACAAATAAAGACTTTCATTTAAGTCATTTTAAAAAGAGCTTCAAGCCACACACAATTATGCTTTTGATAAGACTATAGAATCATTTTTCAAAAGGAATTTGGAGTACCCTAGAAGTGTGCAAAGCCCTCAACAAGACAGAAAAAGCTGTGGGCAAATAATCTGGACAAAGAACCAGATACCTTGCAAGATTGATGTGCTTGCATTGTTTTCGGTGAGCGGTCGTGCCAAGGTTCTGTGCTAAGGTAGATCGCAGGCAGTTAAGTGCAATAGTAGTCACCATTTCACGATCCAAGCCAAGATTGTCAGGAACGACAATGGCGGCGGACAAGGCCACCGCAACTGTGCGTGAAGCAAACTTTGGTGATGTTTAACTTCGGGAAGCCATGGGTTGTATAGATCGGCGAACTTTGAGATGAACGATACATGTGCTGACAACCCAAAGCCTCTAGATTGACGGGCGTTGTTGATAATGGAGGTGACAGGTTTTAGGCGGTGCTTACAAGTAATTTCAAGCATATGTTCTTCACATTCTTGATGGGAAGGACGGATTTTTTAGAAGTTGGCTGTTTGCGCTGGCACATGACAGCAATGGTGGATGTGTGTGGAGCAATGGTGCGGTGTGTGAAGGAGTTTGAGAAACAAACTAATCCTTCTTTTTAAGTGTTTTTGACATGAAAAAAAAATGAGCAAAAGTGGCCAAGACAGAGGTTGGGAAATTTCCAATATCATTAATCAATAATCGAGCCTTAATTGCAGTGACAATCTTTAGATCAATTCATAGAAAAGAAAGCACAAGAAAGGAAAACTAACAAATAAAGAAAACTACCCAACTATCAGTAAAAGGAAACTTAGTGAAATAGTTTGGAAATTTATATAAAAATATTAAGCAATTCTACTTTTCATTACTACTATATAACCTTCCTCGTAAGCTCATGTAACATACTGAAAGAGCTTAGAAATTTATATAAAACTCTTAATAAAAATATTAAGCACTTCTACTTTTCATTACTGCTATATAACCTTCCTCATATGCTATTCTTGTTCCTCATCACTTAGCTTATCTCTTAGAATCAAATTTTGAACTAGCGTGGCACTTTTGCATATCTAATCAATAGATTACAAGGAATTAGCCAAAAATAAAGACCACCAAAAGTAACCACCACAAAGATGCGTAAAGCGATTTAATCTTTCATAAACATCAACTTTATATTGGATCAGTTTCTCCTCAACAAAGAAGTTCTTGGGCCAACAAATCCTACCCACCTAAAGGAGGTGTTGATCAATTTTTTAGGACAAATGTCGCCATCCCTCTCTTCGTGATATTAGAGTTCTTCATTGGCTTATAATAGTGGAGAGCTAGGGTCTCTAAATAAGGTTTCCAAGTTAAGGTCTCGTTCAGTTCTCCGATTCAAGTTTTCTCAATTCGAGCTGAGATGTGACATTTTATGAGTGCTTTTTATTGTAGCAAACTGAAATTGAAAACTCAAATCAGAGAACTGAACAAGGCCTAAGTTCCAACTTAGTGAATCTTGCCAAGGCGAGGGTATGTCATATGCAAAAAGAGAGATCTGTGATAAAGAGGAATATAGACTTGTAGAGATCCTCTATGTAGTTGTCTATCTAGGGTGATTGATCTGCATCTTTCCCTATACCCCTGAGGTTGTGCCAAAAATCTCCTACAAGAGCAATCTAAAGAATATGGTTTTCTCCTGCCCTGTGGAGATTCCCATTCTATGTGGACTTCCACTCAAACCCATTGATTGTGCTCGGCTTGCTGAAGGCAAAACTATCTGGTACTTTGTCGAGTCTAGGAAAAGAGAATTCTCAAATGGTGATTGGTTATGATACTACTACGGTACCACAAATTTACAAATTGATCCTAAGTAATCATTGTTGTTCATTGAATTCCAGAAGAACTACTTCTTTAGGATTGAGGAATTGTTGTAATTCTTCCTGAATAGCTCAAGTCCCCCACACGAGGGTCACTTTAAAAGTATTACCTAATTCATCCGAATAAATATGATAATGCAGAGTTGAAACTAAACAAAAGGACAAACGAAAGCACACTCAAGATATGCATGTCTTTTTCCAAGAAACCAAGGGATTTTTTTGTCTAGACAAAATGGCCCAACCTGGCCCTATTGATGAATGCAAGAAAGGGTTTATGAGCTGTGCCCCTATAAGCCCAAACCTAATAGAGTAGATCATTTAATACCTGCAACACTGAACCATTTTCACCTTCATCTTCAGCCTTACTTGACCAACATCCAAAATCTAAACCTCCATATGGCTCTCTCATACATAGCCTTCTCTTACCAAACATTAGTTTGAAAGAGATCTATAAGTTGGAAAGACAAACTTGGTTATTCCTCTTTCATAAAATGTATGAGTAAGTGTATTACTCTCTTCCTTTTTTGCATCAAAATTTTAGTAAAGCTACGGGTAAGATGCCAAGGACATCAAGGAAAAAAAGTTTCTGAATCTGCTGTAAATTGATTTATATTTATTCTTCACATGCGAACGTTGGACATATGAAACAGAAGGTACCTCGAGAGGATCCGAAGGTACGGGAGTTTCTTTAGCAGCCTTCTCTGGAAAATTGGATGGCTTCTGGCGATAATCAATGGAAGATTGATTATAGTTTCTTTTCTCAGTAGTACCAAATCCATTATTAGGAGCATCACCAAAAATTTGTGAAGTTGTTTCTCGAGCAAACTTGGTTACGAGCGAGAATTTTTCCAACACGTGAATAGAGAGATCTCGAGCAGGATCCTGAGCCTTTTGCCTCGGTCTTCCACTATATCGAGAAATACTTAAACTTCCATCACGAACATTCCCACCAGACCTGTCCTGACTTTGATCTAAAGGGGACTCACCAACATTAGATTCCCCACTTGCAACAGAAACAACCCTAGGCAGCTCCAAAGAAGACAAAGTTTTCTGTAGAGCGAATAAATTCATACAAAAAGTTTTCAACACTCCACTTTGATAATCGAAAATAAGAAGAAAAACATAGAAGAAACAAACATAAAAGAACAAGCTGGCGCAAATGTGAATAAAGTTATTTGATCGCTCAAGAAATAAAAATGTATCACAATGAAGAAATTAATTTAGTTTCCCGCACTTAGTTTCCTTTATGTTTTTTATTTTGCATAGTGGGACCCTAATTTAAATTCGTAAGCCATTATTGCACACTCTGTCTTTTCATGATAGAGGACAATTATCAGACATATCATGAGAATTGCATACTAGCAGCGTCACATGCTACCCATACACTTACACTTTCTCTAGTTCTACACATTTCAACTTAAGGCCTTCTTTTCTTTTCTTTTTTTTTTCCCCGATTCTTTTTGGGTCTAGGCAGTAAGGATAATTAGAAAGATTAAATAATTGGCAGGCAGTAGAAGGTGGCATTATTTATTTATTTACAAGACTGTAATGATCCCTTCACATGTTTACATAAACTAAAGTTACCAACGAAAGTTTGGTAATTTAAAACCCATTCATATGAAAGATCATTTCTTCTATGCAGTGGCGTGGATCAAGCATACCTGGAGTGGATTTTGAAAATCATTGACAAGAAATACATTTGCATCTTCAGCTGACCTGGAAGCATCAAACGAGGAAAAAAAATGAAAACATAAGACATAATATAATGAGTTGTCATGGTTATAGGACTCCTTTATTTCAGCTGTGATTAAGTAATAGGGCTACTTAGTTAATAATATATTAATACTGTAATTTGGACTACAGAATTCAAGGGTTATAGTTTATTTCATTGCAGAAATAAAACCTTATTTTCCTGAATAATAGAAGAAAAAGACAAGATTGATAAAAAAAACCAACCTCACGAGAAAAACATGTTGCTTGATTGTAGCAAGAAACTCCTTGACTCCTCCATTATAGAAATAAAGAGGAGGAAATGCAAGTCCTGCAAAATATTAACCTTCATACCATGTACGGCAATTAAACAAATAACAGAGGACAGAAAGTAGCTGCAGTATAACCACAAGTCTTGATAAGGAAAATAGAAAATTCGATATACCTGCCATAAAAATTGTTTTATTTGATGAAAGCTAAAATATAGCATACATTTACCATTTTCTTAAAAAACATTTACCTGACTTGGATATTTAAAATGAGAAGTACAAAGTTGCACTTGCATCATTGTAATGCTTTTCTAGTTACCTTTTGCGGGGTCAAAGTTGAAGTCAATTTTTTTTTCTCTCTCCTTATCTAGTTACCTTTTGTGGGGTCAATTTTCCTACCACGCTCAATAATAGAATAAATATTAGTTCCTTTAACCTAAAGACATTTTTATCCAATTGTAAGAGGATCATCATTCCATGATCGGTTATATCGACAGCACCAGCCAGCAGACCTGCTAATTGCTCAATATGATACTCTATGATGTATTTCTGAATCAATACAACCATCAAGCTTTGGGAAAATCAGTCCCTTCTCTGGCTATTAGCACCCACTTTTGCAATTATGCTTAAAACAAATTGAAACTAAAGGCGTACCTCACCTCTCATATGCCCAAAACATGAAAAAAAATAATAATAATAAAAAATAAAATAAAAAAATATATATATCTCTCAATGCCAGGTATTCCAATAACATAATCCACATTAAACTAGACCCAGTTGATATCTGCTAAGGCTTTTAAACTGATCCTAATTCCCCTAACAAACAAATAACCATCGCTAGTATACAGTTATTTTGACGATACCTGAGGACAAGACCACAATAATGTACTGCCAGCCGAGCGCCGGAGTGTGCCGGCGAACCGACCGCACCTCCGTAAAAGGCACCGCCCTTATTGTGTACAGATTCCTATCTACACAAAAGGGGAAAAAAACATATAAACAACAAATTCAGCAATAAATTCAACTATAACATCACTAAACCCCAACATACTTCAGGAAAAAGGACAAAACCTTTCTCAGAAAGTCTGGCGTTCGAATTCTGCCCCTTGTAAGGAATCCACGTCTACATTGACGATACAAAAACCATAAATTTCTCAACAAGAACAACAATAATGACAAAGAGCAAGAAACACCGATCACGATCGCTAACTTACCATGAACAGTGAAGTGCCTTGCTTGATCAACTTCAACCTTCCGCTAATCCTCTCGGACGCGAACTGCGTCGGATGAATCGTGACGTTGTCCTTCCAGTAAACCACCTCGGCGCCGTCAGAATCGCTCGACGAACAGCTCTGTCGGCCACTGTCGCTACGCATAATGCTCGCCGAGCCCTAAAACCAAAATCAAACCGCTCAAACACTAAAAACCTAATCAAATTCGACTCAACTCAGCCGATCGATCATCGGAAAATGGAAATTGGTCCGAATCGGAATCGGACTCGGCGCCGCCACCGGCTCACCTGCTGCTGCGACGCGGCGTAATCGGCATCATCGGAGAGATCGTGGAGGTCCGTCTCCTGCATTTCCGATCGATTCACAGAGAAACAAGAGAGAGAGAGAGAGAAGAGAGAGAAAGAAGAGAGAGAGAAAGAGAGGGAAAGAGAAATGGTTTTTTTTTCCTTTTTCTTTTCTCTTTTCTCTTTTCTCTATTTCCTTAGGGACGAAGGCAGTGGGGTCGTGACGAAGATACTCGGGACATGGCGGGTCAGCGTGTGAGAGGTGAGACTTAGGGGAAAGGAAAAATAAGGAGATATTCTGTTGCTGATAGAATGGACGTTTGAGATTTAATAGTGTCGTTGCGATCGATGCAAGTGATCTCTTGAAGGAAGAAAGAAACGGCTTCACTTTCAGCACTTATCCGTCTTCGTTTGCTAGCCAGTTGAAAGCACGTGTATTTCACGCGTTACATTTTTTTTTTTATAAAAAAACATCTAAAATTTTATTAAAGGAAATATACATATTTTTAAAAGAAAATATACTTATTTTTTAAAAAAATATACATATTTTTAATAGGAAATATACATATTTTTTTTAAAAAATATACATATTTTTTTAAAAAAAATATACATGTTGTTAATAGGAAATATACATATTTTTAAAAGAAATATACATGTACCGTTTTAATCCGGTGCTGGAGACAATTCCTTTAATTTTAACTTATTATTTCTTAAATAATAAAAAATAAAAGATTTAAGTCTTGCATAGTTAAAAAGAAATAAAACTTTTAGTAGAGCAAATTAAAAAGTAAATTAATTATGAGAGCATATGACAAAAAAATATTTGAGAGAGTTAAAAATATATATTTTTTAATAGAAACGCATCTGAAAAGATATATAGTTTTTGTAAAACAATTAAATATATATATATATATATTTATGTATGAGGGCGTCATTTGAAAAAAGAATGTTAAGTAACCTCATATTAGAGAAACTATTGAAACATAGATAAATTAAAGTAGTTTTATAAATAAGATAAATGTAATTGAGACTACCACCCAAAATGAAAAACATATGTAAATACGGGGATATTTAAGAACATTTGCTTCAATAATTCATAGTTAAAAATGTAAAATTTTAAAATACTCGTAAAGAGAGAGCAAAAAAAACAGAGCACTTTTATCGAAACAAGCATTATTTTTTTATTTGAAAGGAAAAACAAGTATTGGTTTGATCAAAATTATTAATATAATGAAAGACATATTGGTTATTTTTAAGAGGATGTATTTGAGAAAAAATATTTCAAGTGGGACAAATGAAAAGAAAAATCATACAACAAATAATAAATAGAAAAATACTCAAAATATATCTGCATTTTGTCTAAATACCACTTTTGCATTTTTTTATGTAAATGCCCAAAATACATCTTGTTTATAAAGTCAAAGATACCCCTGAAATAAATTAAATTCTTTAAAATATAAAGAATATCCTTCTTACTTTATATTAAATATTTAAATATGATTTAACTAAAAAGTTAAATAAAAAATTGAAAATGTTGAAATAATATTTTAATTAAACAAATACTATAATTGTTTTGAGAGATTATATTTTTTTTATGATTGATTTTATTTACATTTTAGTTCAGTAATATTTTAAATAGAAGGAGCATTTTGAATATTTGTTTAAAAAAAGGTATAAGTGGTATTTTAACAAAGCATATAAGGTATTTCGAATATCACATAATAAAATAATTAAACTGCAAAATAGCCTTTTAATAAAATGAAAAAAAAAATAAGGCTATATTCAAAAAATTATTTTAATAAGTACGAATAAGAGGAAAAAGTATTTGAAAGAAACACATTGTAAAAAAATTAATTGTACAGAAAATTTGAAAAAAAAAACAAATAGAAAATAAAAAGATCATCAAAATTCAAAAAAATAAAATAAAAGAATCTAATCTAATCTAACAATACATTAAAAAAATAATGAAATCACCATTTAAATGCAGTGTTCTAAGATTTTTACCATTTATCTTGATTAATACCATTTTGATTAATATATTTTTTTATTAAAGAATATTAATTTAGTATGAAAGGTAAAAATCTAGGATTCATCTATTTTGAGGGATATCTATCTCCTTTTCTCATACATAAAAGAGTCAAAAGCTCTTGTAATATTACTCTTCCTTGGGGCTACAACGTGGCGGACTTTCGTCCTTTTTTTTCTTTCTTTATTCTTTTTATCTTTTAAATATTTTACCTTTTTACTTTTGAATTAATTTCAAAAATTCCCCTTGTACTATGATCCCTGTAACATTTTGACCCCTGAATTTCAAAATGTAACATACAATCCTCCCAAACTTTATTCCGTTAACAATTTTACCCCCTTCGTTACACTGAGTGACAGAATTCGTCTCATGTCCATTACTTTGTGAGATTTAAAAGTGAAATTACGCTTATACTCATCTTCGTCCCATCTTCGTTTAGAATAACTATTCCTCTATGTTCCATATATCAGTAGAGAACACCATAATCGTTCACAAAAACTAGTTTTCCTTTCCTAACCTCATTCATCCATGGCGAGTCAAGGCAGTTCAAACAGTGGCGCCAGTGGTTGGGTGATGAAAGAAATTTGAGGTCCTATTTGATGTTGATGTGGGTTGGATCCGGTAGTGAAGACATTACACACGAAGAAGAATCTGGGAAGACAATTTTATGAATGCATTCAGTACAAGGTAAATAGTTTTACGTTGGACAACAAAGCTTTTGTGCTTATGAAGATGAGAAAGGCTGTGGGTTCAGAAAGTGGCTTGATAGTGGAGAAAATTTCCGTGCAAGAGATGTGGTTCCAGAATTAATCGAAAGGCTTGACAAGTTGAACCAAAAAATTGATAGGCTTGATGAAGAATTATGAAGTTGAAGGATGCATTTGGAAAGAAGAGTGTAGAAACTGAGATGAAAAAAAAAAAAAAAAGAGTTTACGGATGATGATATGTATAGCTATGGTTGTTGTATTTTTGTTCTTTTAAGTAGTGTATTTTTTGCATTTAAGGATGCACTTAAGTAGTGTATGCAAGAACAAGTGGTTTTGATGGAAATTGAACAAGGTGTTTTGACTATTGTTGTTACTCTCATTTTCGTAGAACAAATGCTTCCTATACAAAATAATGTTGCCAAAAAGATACCTTTAAAAGGTCTATTTCATTGATACGAGGCACATTATACTTACAACTTGCAGCAGAAAAATGGATACCAAAGCTATTGACAATATCCATTATCCATCACAAAATAGTAAATAATTTTACAAATGCTTCCAAAGGCCTATTCCATCACAACATCCAAAATTCATGTTTGGTGAATAAACTTTCAACTGCCAAAAAAAGTTTTAAGCCTCGTTCATCTTCTTTGATACGGCGGTCTTAGCCATCCAACTTGTTTGCGAGCCGTAATCTTCAATCTTGCGAAGTTGACTTGTTTGTGAGCCGTACACTTGATCCTTAGAACTTGAACTGGTTGGCTGCTTGAACCTCCAACACCCTCCGTCCCAGATGTTTGGCTGCATGCCCCTACAGTAGGTTGGTTGCTTGTACCTTGAGCTGATTCATTGCTTGTAGCACCAACATTAGACACAAGTGGTTCATTGCCTGCACCACGAGTAGGTTGACTGCTTGCACCACCAGTATGCGTACTGCTTGCAGCTTGAGCACGTTGTTGGCGCTTGATCTGTAATTAATAGCCACGTTAAAATTTGACAATATACTTTGAAAAAGAAAAACTTTCTTGCAGTGAAAACAAGAGAATAATTCTTAACTTTCTCGCATCTGCCTCCTCTCACCTAAGACATGTTCTCATATTATGTCCTTCCTTCCCACATCTGCTTCATTTTAAATTTACATAAAATCTTCTCATTTTGGTGCTGTTATGTGGGACTACTTCATCATGTTCAAGGCTCCTCATCCTCTTTGGTCTACCGGGCTGCCTTCTATAGTTGGGCTTAAGCAAAGGTGTCTTCCCACTGTGTGGCGAATCTTCTTAATTATTGATTGGTAAAATTTTGTGCTGCCATATCTTCATGTATGCTTCCTTTCTATAGCAGTCAACAACATAAGTGCATGGGTCTTCATCACGGCTCCATATGCATGTTATTGCATGTAAACATGGGATTCTAGTTAAGTCCCACTTCCTACAAGAACAAGACCTTGCTCTTACGTCCACTGAATAAAGATCTTCTCGGTTCGACACTTGGTAAGACGAGTTGCCTACATAGCTTTGCTTATTCATCCTACTCTCCGTCTTGTTAACCTCCAAGATATCATGAATTCTTGGAGTGATATCCCTATGCCAATTCTTCACAGCAAGTCTTTGTTTGGTGAACCTTTCAAGTAAGTACATCCTAATCATCTCAAGCATGGAAAGTATAGGCTTCTCTCGTGCATTTCGAACAGCTTCCGTGCCATTGAAAGATTCACATAAATTGTTAAGTAATATGTCACACTTCACCTCAGTCCTAAAAAATGCCCTACTCCAATGTCTTGGCCCCTTCTTAATTAACCACTCGTAAGCCTTTTGATCTTCTTCTTTGATTGCCTTCATCTCGGCTTCAAACCTTGCGATTGTACATGCTTTAGCGGATGCCTGCATCTTCAGCTTAAGTGTTAAGGACTTGAATTCTTTGGTGAAGTTGCTCTTAAGGTGTCTTGCACAATGTCAATGTTCTGCTTCTGTCTCCTTTGATGCCCACAACCCTTTTAGGGCTTCTTTGAGCCCTTTTTGTTTCTGTTATAAATGTCCACTGATGTGGATTGTTGATGTTGATATCTTCTCTCAAGAATTGTAAAAACCAAGCTACAACAAAAGCTATTGGAAACATGGAATTATTTGCATCAATTCCAATAGCTGTCAATAACTGTCCTGGATGGGGCCCTTTGATATGACACCCGTCTAGACCAACTACACGCCTACAAGCAACAATAAAACCCGCCTTGCAACCAGCATAGCATATATAAACCTTCTGAAAAATAGGAACACCATCAGGTCCCATCTCAGTGTGGAACTCGACGGTTGAACCTTCGTTAGACTTCTTGATCTCCTCTCCATAATCAAACAAAGCTGCAAATTGCTTTTCAAAAGTGCCTTCAATTTTTTTTTTTTTTGTAGCTGCCCAC